ATTTATATATATATATATATATATATATATATATATATATATATAATCTACAATGTATTTGCCTGTTACCAGTTCTTGTTTTAAAATAAATCCTTTTTGATAATAGAAATGTCCTTTAGATTAAAATAGATTTATATTTTATCAAACAGTTACATATTTTATTTTACTATAATAAATTACTTTTTTAATAATTTCCGAATTGCATTATGCATATCCTTTACTCTATGGATGGTACATGATTCTCTGTGTGTGTGACTTTCATTTCTCCTCCTTTTCTGTTTGGAGTGCCCAAAAAGCAAGAGGTAGTCACAGATGTTTTTTAAAGTTTAAAAAAAAATATTCAGGACGGTTAAGTTAAAGGGCAATGTATACTTAATCGTTTGCGAATGACAGCACAATCAAATTTCAACAATGAGTAAAGAAAGATCAATTCAAAAGGAACACCATAATTTTCAAGAAAATGGCAACTGTAATATTTTAAACATTATTTGATCATTGCATTATTATATTCTATAAACATTATTATATTATCTATGTCTGTATACTTGAAAAATAATGAAAACAATAATAATAATTCATTCTGTTTTAAATTTTCACTCCAATAAATGTTTTTTTTGTTTCCAAATCTGATAAAAAGGTACATATTTTTATGTGCGGCCCACGAGACTATGTTTTTCCGAAGTGGCCCACAAGGTCATTTGGGTTGGCCACCCCTGGTTTAGAGCAGTGCGCTTAGGGTCATTATCTTGATAAAAATTGAAGTAGTTTCTAACACCAAAAATTTGGGTGGGTAATTTCAAATTGTTCCTTAAAATATTTAAAGGAAGTTCATGATTCACGATATCGTCAATAAGTAACAAATTTTCTAATCCCAAAGCTGACATACATCTGTACACTAGAACAAGTCCATCGCCCTGCTTCACTCTGTTCTAACTAAATTCTCGGAATTATATAAGTTCCTCTTTTTTTGCTTCTCTGTACTATTATTTTACTCCCGTTGGAACTAAAAATGTTGAATTTGTTCTCATCTGCTAATAGGACATTATTCCAATACGCGTTTCAGACTTGTTTATCGTGGATTTAGTAAAGGTAAGTCGAAGCTTTCTATTTTTGACACTAAAGAATTTTCTTCAAGCACAACGCCCATATTATGAGGCTGATCTGAATACTCCTCTAACAGTTTGAGAAGAAATGGAGGTAAAAAATCTTTCAGCTGGTTATGCAAAAACTTTTATAGCACTCAGACGTGGATTTTTAGTAAATTTTTTTGAGAAAAAAAATCAACGATCTCGGTGAGTTAACTTCTTTTGACGTCCTTCTCTTTTGACTTGTTTTTGATTCTACGAGAGTATTTTCTTCTTAAAATCGCTTTATCATGTAGTGTACCGTGGAACATTTACTGATTTCGTAAAGTTCTGAATTGATTTACCTTGATTGATGTGAAAAATGTTCAATTTTCTAGCGCTTTTTTTTTCATGGTCTCTTTGCGAATACAAAAGCCATTTTCAGAAAATACAATAAAAGAATAGACTATTTTACAGTAAACGAGCTAAGATTTAAGCAAACGAATTTTAGTATGTTGCCACATTGCAGAAATGGAAAAACGCTTCACAGACGATATTTTTTATCAAAGGAATTTATCCAAAAAATGTTTTGGTGTACTATAACTTTTGTGACGCAATTTTCGTTCTCCTTCCTGCCTTTTAAATCTTCTAAGAATAGAGGGTAAGTATTTAAAAAGTAAAATAAGTCTTATATTTGAAATTCAATGAGGAATATGCAAGACGAAATTGTACTGTATATATTTAAATTTATAGGCTAAAGTAAGATTTCCGCACCTTTTTCAAGTGAATGAACGCTTTTGAGAGACACTGTATGTTCTATTTCAATTTGAAAAAAAAATTTCTTTCATTTATAGCTCTGCGCATTCCCCCAAACCTCAGGGGCAGTTTTTCAACTGGCAAACAGTCCAGATGGGTAAGTTTGAATACATGTTGCATGTTTATCACCTTTTCAATCGAAATATCTAAATTTGAAATTATTTTGATTATTTCTTTCTTTATAAGTATGAAATAAAATTGTAAATATTAACATTTTTCGAAATGCTTGATAACTTTGTTTTTGGTCAATACAAAGTTTTTTGTGCTACATTTTAATCACAAAATGCTGTATATTCTTAAAAGTTTGATTCTTCCTACTTTATTGTGACATGATCTCCGAAGTATGTTTGTTACATCGTAACAAAGTATATAAGTATAAACCTAATAACTTTGAAATTAAAATATTTTATATAAGGCACGTTCAACATTATTAAAAATGAGCATTACTCTGAATTATGAGAAAAATTTCATTCACAAAAAGAGTTTGAGTTTTTGATTGATATTAGATTTCAAGTGAAGTTTATTATTGTTAAATTCACACACTTATTTTTCACCCTTTATTTTTCAGCCAAGCTATCGGTTCGATCCGGGGGGACAGGAGAGTGTACATTCATAATTCATCCACGGGTGCCCGTCTGAAACGACACTCGGGCCACACCCGTTCTTGCACTACACTTGCATATAACAGATCCGGAAGCCATCTCGCAAGTGGAAGCTTGAACGGAGAAATAATCGTGTGGCCTTCCGATGTAAGATACTTTAATAAACTGACAGCTTAGATATTTATAAAAATTGTTGTGTTGCATTTATATCCTATGTTTTATGTTAATCAAATTTCCATATGCTTTTTACTTTATATAGGATGAAGCCGATATGATCACTGTCCCCCTAGTAGTCGAGTCAATTGACTGGTGTCCCACTACCAATCTCGTGGCGGCGGCAGTGGGTCCCCTGGTCATGTTTTGGGATATTGGTTCGGGAGCCCGATACGCGTACTGCCTTACGAGAAACAAGGAGGAAACTGTGAGGTAAAAGTTTTTATGTGCTTCAAAATGTGCTTAACATGTATGGTTATATGCCATAATTACTCGAATCAAAGCCGCACTATTTTTCCAACGTTTTTGCTGTTGAAAATCGGATACGGCTTAGAGTCGAAGGCAAAACATTTGCTGAAAGGGGGAAATTGAGTTTCTTCCCCTTTCAAGCGGAAAAATGGAACCGTCCATTCTGACGTCGATGACTTAACCATTCCACAGTTTATCTCCAATGTTCAATCTTTCCTAAACATCGTTGTCTGCTTGTATTTAGGAAATTTTTGGTATACGCTTCCTTTTAATAATCTAAACCTCAAAGATATTAGTAAAAGTATCAAGACGAGTTTACTATGACGCAAGTATGAAAAGGAAGGAAATTTTGTATGGAGAAAAAAATGGACCCAGAGAAGCTTATAAATGTTCAACAGTCTTTAATAATTCTTTTGCATTCCTCTATAATGCATTCTTTTTTTAAGAAATGTTGCATAACAAATGCATTGGATGGCACGGAAGACAACACCGCGTGGGGAAAATGGTGACGCTGGCACCAATTCCGAAGTCAGTTCTGACAATGGGAGTGACGAATCATGTTCGAAACATGATACTGACGGTTAGAGAAATTATAGGGGTCCATGTGCGTATTTGAAAAAGTTTTTAATATTGGTAAAATAAATTAATTATTAACTTATTATTCTCACTGAAAAATTTTAAAAGTATTTCTTAAGTATTGGATATCGATGAACATTTGACACAATTTTTTATTTTTTTTCAAAAACATGTAGAGAATTGGGGGTGTGGCATAGAATTTATGACAATATTTTTTCACCAAACCATTTTGAGAATTAGGGGTGCTGCTTTGAATCGAGTAAATACGGTATATATGAGGCGATGTTTAAATCACTTAAATATACATTTATTTGTTTATTTTTCAGATATGTAAAATTCACCCCGGCTGGCGACTCCGTTTTAACAGGCATTACGAACGTATCCTACCGTTATATCCCAAAACAGACTCAGGCGGCGATCGTTACCGAAGCAAAGGTAATACCATTTTATTTCTATATTTTAGGCAAAATAGTACATGACATTTCCTACTTTGACGCTTTTATTAAAAGAACTTATAATGTTGTTTCTATTTTTTACTTCACCTTACTTGACATTAAAGTGTAATTTATATTTCCTGATATCATTAAGTTTTCCAAAAATGTATTCTTTATCAAAAACATGTACTGATCAGTTCATGCAAAATGCATTCTATCGTCCTGTATACGTATACTTCATTGAGTCTGTCAGTGCATGAAAAGTGATAGATATACCAGCTGGTTATCAGATATGCTTACAGCTGTATTAGAAATAATGATTTAGGTAATTTATTGGAAATGAAGTTAGTGATGGCAAATAGGATTGTATTAAAATTCTAAAATTAGAAGTAAATTAAAATGTAATTTTTTTCACACGTGACATTAGGTTTTCATACATAGTACCTATGTAGTTTTTATTTGAAGTAAATAATAAACAATGCATATATAGAGATAAGAATACAATATTTATTCAACACAAACAGTTAATTATATTTTAGCATCAGTTGCATTTAAAGTAAACTATTCTTAAGATTTTTAGAAGTTTCTTTTTTACTTCATGCTAATTGCAACTTTTTTTAAAAATCCGGCTAGTATATTGTCGATTGCAAGATAATACAACATGATTCATCTTTTGTCAATCTATTTTCTAACCTTTGACACAGTACATGATTTAGTACCGAAAAAGGACTATCACAAGAGTGAGAACTGTAACAATGCGCGTGATTTCTAGTTGCTTAAGTTCACTCTCTCCATATATATATATATCTTTTTGTTCAAATTTTCAATCGTTAATAAAATACTTATTCATCCATTCAAGTTCAAATAAATTTTGTTAAACTTGTAGGGGATGACACTTGATGTTAGTACGGTTTTTTCAAATATTAATTCATTAATTAAATTAAATTACGAATAGTGAAAAGAATAATAGTCCAACAGCATATATAGAAAGGAAAACCGTTCGTTGTGTCTTTGTGGCGCAATGGATAGCGCGTTGGACTTCTAATTCATGAGTTGTGGGTTCGAATCCCACCTGAGATGGCCTAATTTCTGAGAATGGGGTTTTTTTTTTTACTATTCTACTTTATTAAAGTAATTAAATTTTTTATAAATAAAACAAACCCCCCCCCCCCCAAAAAAATAGTCCAAAACCGTATATAGAAAGAAAAATGGGAAATTACAAGGAAAATCGCTTAATATTGTGATTTTGTCATATGCATATACTTATTTATATCAATTGTAACTATTTAATAAAAAGTAACTAAAATAAAATTTTTTCTTTGTTGACCTAAGTAGGAATTGACTTAAAAATGCTTTGTTATATTGTTTAACTAAAAAGCTAGTGCATCTGACACACCATTCCACTTTTCAAATATTGAGATTTCAGTTTGAAATTCAGACTGCATCATTTGATATTCGATACCGTTTCAATTTTTCACTGTGTTTTAGCATATCTTCAAATTTTTATGTCAAAGTAACTTTACACTGTATAAATCTATTGCTTATGTTTCTGAATTTTCCAATTCCATTAAATTCATGAAGTTGATATTGAAATCCTTTATGCCGAATAAGTTCGGGAAATTTGCAATTTTTAATAGCCATTCAATTGTTTTGAATTCTTTAAACTTGTTTAGAAACTGTTCCTTAATAAATATTTCCCTTAATGCTCCTTAATTTTTTTTTACAATTCATAATAAGAATTCCAATTAGTTTTCTTAAAAAGTGTTGATTCATCAAAAATTTTTAAAATTTGGAAAATTACAAATTGTTTAGAATCAATATCCCTATCAAAATAACTAAATTACAATCAAACCTCTTTATCAGCACAAACATAACCTTAATTATTTTTCAAAGACCTTGCAATTTTTTTAAGTTTATTTAATTGTAATGGCATGTCCATGTGTGTAAGAGAGAAATACTAATTTTGCAAACCTTGAAATCTCTCAATTTTATACAATTCTTTAAAACTTTTATCTACCGCATTATGATTTACTTCAGTTTTTTCGCACACGCACACATACATTTGAAAATAATATGTTAAAAAACTAGAGCTTTACGGGCATTATAAGTTTTAATTTTATGACTTCATGAACACTTAAAATGCGTTTTTCTCAGGCTTTTAATTTTGAAGGTATAAGGGTTTTCTAATCCCTAAGGCTTTTTTTCTGTTCATCTTAGAGCCTTGAAATTTTTTGTATATACTCCCAAACGTATGTTGTACAAAAGTTAGTATGAACTTAGGGCTGAGATCTCTAGTTATTTTTCTAAAAAATGCGAAAGCTGATATTTCAAAAATTTTTGTGTTGTTTCGAGGTTTTTCTAGAAAAATAATTATAAAAAATCAACAAGTGAATAGATTTTTAAATCCATACTAACTTTTGTTTGCAATAACCTAAGAAACATAAATAACTTAAAATGACTAAAAAATTTTAAAAATGGAGCATTTTATAAAAGTTTGAAAAAACCTCAAAAATTCCTAATTTTTTAAAATTGTAAAATAAGGGCTGGTCAAACTGACTTTTTACTTCCAGAATCAGCTTAATAATATAATCTAAATATAAAACATAAATTATTTTTACTGTAACTGTCTCCAAAAAATTTGTTTGAAAAATTGTACTGTGTAGCCTTAAATTCAATTTTTTCTCATTTTTTAGTTTTCTAATGACTCTTCAGATATGAACTTCGTGGATTAGATATTTGGTACAAGTGAAGAAATAAACTATCTTTCCCGAATAAAATGATCATTGCCATATTAGTACTTTTTCATCATCATTGATTTAAAAAAAAATGAAATTCATTAATTTTACCTAGTATGAACAAAAAAATCTGAATTGTATTGCAGGGGTGGCCGAAAAAATATGCTTTCTCTTTCTTAACAGGTTTTTTCCCCCCCTTCTTTTTTCAGGCCGCAGATAATGATTCCGACGATGAACTCGATAACAGTTCCTATGGTATTATCCAGACTAATTGGCCCCAGACTAATTGGCCCCAGACTAATTGGCCCCAGCCTTATTGGCCCCAGTTTATTCAGCCACGAATGCCGGTTAGTGTCCTTTTTATTTCTCATTTTGCTCTTTTTCCTTCTTAATTTTTAATTCTCTTAAATTTTGTCTAACATAAAATAAGATTCTTAAGAGCTTTTGGAGTCGAAAAATGTTTAAAAAAATTTCTTGCAAGTAATTTTTTCTTTAAAATTTTCAGACGGGCAGCATCTTACCCTTAAGACAAGTGGAGCCGAATTTCAACATTCAACTACCTATTGAGGTTAGTATTATTTTTATTTCTGATTTTTTTTTTCAAAGAATTAAGGTCAGTTTGGGTTCGAAAATGATTTGAATGAACTTTTTTAGATGTTCGCTTTCCTTTTTTTCCCTTCAATTTAATATTCTTTGAAACAAATGAATATTACATTAACTGGATGATTATAGAAATTACCCTCTTACAAGAGTAAGATGATAATTTCTATTACACTCTTGATTATACTCTTAACTCTATGTAAGAGTGTAATCAACTTTTCTGAGATGACCTGCATATAGTTGGACTGGATAAGTCTTTATGTTCATCATGTTTATTTCAACAACTTTATGTACCTTTTCCTCAAAATGGTGAAATTTTTTTCTCTGTCAGAAATGTTTTACATGCTTTAATGAATAACTTTCTTTTGAAGTATGAGTAAAAAATTTGTTATTAATTATTTGATTTATTGAAACTTAATTTTGAATGGGCATTTGGAAAAGTTTCACTGCCTAAAATAAATAATTATTAGGAAATCATCGAATTTCCGTGTTAAAGTAAGTAATATAACTTAAGATGCCAGTATACAAATTTGAGTTCTTAAGTTCATAGATGTTGGGGGAAAAAAAAGAACACTAACTTGAAAAATCCGCAAGATTTGAGGAAAACTTACTACATTTTAAATGGACACAAACACCGTTTTCTGACGAAGATAAGAAATGTTGCAATTTTCATAAAAATTTGCGACGTTGTAATTCATACACGTGTTTATGACAATGCTTTTTTAAAATGTGAAAATATTCCATAAACAAGTAAATTTTTCCTGTAACACACATCATTACAATATAGGAGATGAAATTTCGACACATTTTATATAAGAAAAATAGATCACCTCAGATAAAAAGGAGTAACATAATAAAATATCTTGCTTTGCATATGATAACGAAGTCAGAATACATTAATGTTAGAGTGCTTTTATATCCGATGAAAAATGTGTCTCAGTTTGTGATCCCATTCTTTAAAATTACACAAAGACAGCTGTCAGAAAGAAAGAAAAAAAATCGAACACTTTTGTTTTTCTAATAAAAAAAATGTGGCACATCACTGGGGAAAGAAAAAAAAGCTTAGCCCCGTAACCATCACTTAAATTTCAAAGAAGAAGAAAAAAAAAACAGTAAAAAAAAGGGCCTATTTTTTATCGCAGAAAATTGTGCAAGAGTGTAGTTTTACAATTAACTTGCTGAACGTAAACCAACTATCTTCATTACTTTAAATAATCTGGTTTCCCCATCAAATATGTAAAATAGGAAATTTTTGACACGAGAGCGAAAAGGATTATTAACCGTTTAATGATACGAAACGGTAAAAAATAAATTTTAATCGAATTTCACCTACCCAGTTTCCCAAAAGAAATCTAATATCTCCGAAATCCATTGTTTTTAAATAACATTTTACATCAGCTATCTCGGTAATTACGATTATTTTGTCAAAGAATTTGGTTTTCGTTTCATTGTTTTTTCCAGAAATTTAAGACTACACAATATGCCTTTAATGATGTACTCTTTGGACAATACTGCAGTCCTTTAATATTTAAAATGCGACATATATAAAAAGTCTTAGAAGAAAGGAATACGTTTCGATTTACATCATTATTAGGAACGTGCTAATTTGATATCGGGGGTAGTAGCGCCAAGCTGTTGTTTATGTTCGCCAAGATGGGCGATAATATTAATATTTTCATCGTCTGTCGATGTGGTTGCCATGGGGATAACGTATATTAGAAATAACTTTTATTCGTTTTTTCCCGCTATAACCCTTTAATTTCAGACAATATCTTTAAAAACTTAACCATTTTCAGTTTAATTTTTCTATTTGCGTCTTCTGTTTAATTATGGGGTACTTTTGAATATGGATATTTCTAAAATGAGTGAGTTCTAGAATATTTTTTTCTTAAAAGAATAAGTGTTGTGCTTTTAATAATCGCTATAAATAATTTATTTTCGTTTTAAAAATGTTTTTTTTACGTTCTTTGTTCGATGAAATTCGTTGAAGGAACTTACAGTGCAAGTTTCATATTGCACGCTTTCACTACTTTGTAATTGATATTCTAAATTAATTTTAACATACATTATGTAATTATTTTATTCGTAATGAAAAAAAATGCAATTATTACTATGTGTAATAATATAAAATTCATTACTTATAATTGTTTCTTTTAGCATTTATTTATAAATATTACTACATACTTTGTTCTTTATTTATAATTAATATTGTTATTTATTTATAATTATTATTATTTAATTATAATTATTATCTTATTCATTTATAACTCCTTTTGTTGTTTATTTATAGCTATTCTTATGTTATTTATTTATAGTTCTGTATTACGAGTTCTCTTATGCATTATTTTTATTTTTTTACAATTCGACGATTATTCTTTTTAATAATTACTATTTAATTATATTATGATTATTGTTTCTAATAACCGTTATATAATCGTACTATATGAATATTACATAAAATTACGATAAAATAATATTATGAGCTTATTATATGCTGCTTATAATACTATTATTAGTACATGTTACTTTTTATTACATATTAATCATTATTTATTGATTGATCTTGGTTATTCTCAATCTCTTCCTGTATCCTTTATTTGAAATACATTTAAATGTATTTCAAAACATTTCTTTAAAATTGTGTATCATTAAACTACCGCTAGGCCGCCATATTGGATTTCAGTCCAGCAGCACTTGGCGCTATTACCCCTGTTATCAAATTAGTTCCATTAGGAAATATTTTTT